CCCCCCCTTTTGGGAACTGTTCTCTTTTTCTTCAACGTGTTCTGTGTGACAGTCGGGGTCAGGGTTAGGGAGTGCCACAGAAAAGCCCAACAGATTTACTTTCACAAGTGGAGCATTACAGCTTTCACTGTCTTCGTAGACATTGTACTGGATTTATTTCTAATACACAGGACACAAAGACTCCAGTGTTAATATACGGCTTTAACTACTCCACTTCCACTGTCTGGGTTTTGTGTCTGCAGGAGTCTTTTGCTGACAAACTTCTGCTCCTTCCTTGGACCGTTTGTCACTCAGCCCTCAGAAGTTATGCTGTGTCTGTTGTGTTTCCTAAGTTTTTGTCCTCTCAACATGATTGGGATTCTGTGCAGTCACTCATATGTGCCACTGTTACAGATCAATTCAGTGTTGGCAGACTTCTGAATCTTTTGTACTCTACAGTGAGGTGGCTTTGCTTGGTAGTTTTTGCTCAGTATCTTGGGGGGCAGGGGGGGGGCATCTATAATAACCAGCCTGTAGATTGTAATTCACAGACCTCACCATCTCCGCTTGAGACTGTTTTTAAACTTTGGATGAAACATGACATTAAGGACAGGCTAAAGTCAACTGGGCTTTTAGTGAGAAAATGTTCTTTTATTCTCAGAAATTCAGTTGCACACCAGTGGGTGGAGAGGATGATTCAATACTGCAAATGAAAACAAGAGAAGAAAAAAAAACTGTCCACCCCGCAGATACATTCACCAAACACAGAGTCCAAAATAGGATTTCTCTAGAACAGCTGGAGAGGAGAATTAAATGGCTTTAGTGCAGGCATGTCTGTAAAATATATTTTATTCATATCTCTGTTTAAAGAACAGATCATTAAAACTCCTTAATAGGCTTTTAAAGTTCTTCAGTAGAAGTTGAGATTTAGTGAGGCTGACAGAAAGCTAATTTTATTTTCACAAATGATTTAGAATTGCAAATTTATTTTCATTTTTATCATCTGGTTCTTTTTGTGCATCATGTCTTCATGTCTTTGGCTCATTGGAGTTTGTTGTTTCCTCAGAACTATAGAAATACTGCAGAACCGGACATGTAAAGTACCACTTAGCCATTTAGCTTTGATATATTAATAGACTTATGTAATTAAAACAATTAAGCAAGCAAAAATACCAGTGCATTATTTGGGGCCTCAACCCCCCCATTTTTTTTTTATGTTGTTAAAAGAAAAAACACTGCTCCGGCGGCCAAATCCATCTTTTCTAGAAATATTGAGATGAGCTAAACTCAGGCAACGAAAGACTGTTGCTAATATCTTCCCTATCGTTGCCTGGATCTTCTTCATTAAAACAAAGCTGCGTCTTTTACCACATATATAGCAAACAATATGTCTCTGTATGTACAAGAACACAAAATAAGGAACCTAAAGGTAACACTGGCTGGGAAAACCAAAAACATGTTGCTAATAGGCTAACACGTTGCTAGTTTTAAGCCTAAGCATTAGCATGCCCACATGGCACCTTGCAGGGTTACTAATTAGTCTCGAGAAGGCCTTCCACCGTTAGGTAGCAGCGTCGACACATGAAAGAAACAGTTCATTGTATTTTATAAAGCTAACTACATATTTAAGGAGCAGCTAACACTGCTAGCAAACTGTGTCTGTCGGTCTGCCTGAGGTTTCTACGCCTCCACAATCAGTTTCAATCAATCAAGTTTTATTTGTACAGCACATCTCATAAACAAGGCAATAATTCAAAGTGCTTCACGTCATGAAAACATAAAAACATCATAAACACATCATGTAGTCAACAATTGGAAATACTAAGATCACAGTTATTTACAGTTTTTACTCTTGAATTACATTTTGCTGGTATCTGCACATTTCTTCTGTTGTACAGTTTCCTATTGTCACTAATCGCCACTAACATGCACATTTTGAAAAAAAAACATTAAATTGACCTATCTGGTTGCACATTGCTTTGGACAGAAGCATGTTATTTTACATAAATAACACGCCTGGTGGTATTTATGTTAAAATTCTATCTTTGCTGTACAGTACTTTAGTCTTTATTTAGTAGTTTTATGTATTTTTCATATTCCATCTCTGTGTGAATCTGCTTTGACTGCCTGTCACCTTCTGCTGTCGCACTGGAATTTCCGTATTACGGGACGATGAAAGGAATTTCTATTCCTGTGATTTTCATTAACTTTCTAGCAACATTTTCAAAACTTTCAGGCCTTTTGAGAATAAAATCTTTTTAGGTGATTAGTAAGATCATTTTTTGCTGCATGTAAAGAAGTGGAAAGACCTCAAGATACTTGGCAGCAGCCGTGCTGCAAACGGTACAAAAAACTAGCCTGAAGTGCTGCATCGACTAAAGTCGAGACGATCATGTTGTGGGTTTGCCATCAAGTCAACACAAACAGTCCTCCTTTCAAATTCTCTTGCTTGGGTTTCAGATCATTGATAAGCAGACTTCTCACCACAGACGTCTGTAGCACGCTCAAAACACCTATTGAACAATCAGGCGTCGTATCGCTTAACGGGGAATCCGCCGGACACTCGATACCTTCTAGAAAATCACACAAAGTCCCAACTGAGACCATTCATACTCCATGTGATTTATGATATTGAATTGCGGTCTAATGCTGCGCTAAGGAGGCCAAACTGAAATAAACATTGTTATGGAACTGCACAGCATCTTTGATTTTCCTCCTTCTCGGGCCTTGCAGCCGGTCTGCCGGAGCTGCGCTCCGCCAGGAGGGGCTCCCATAAATCTGAATTAGAGCCGTTTGGTTTGAGCAAAAATATATTATCTCTCTGGCATGATTTGCTTTTCGCTGTTATGTTGTAGCATATAGCGTTTTCCTTTTCACCCACAAATTCAAAATAAAACTGGTTCTTGCGCGGCTGAAAAGCTTTTATCTCATTAGCCAAGTTAAGCACAATAAACAGTTCCTGAGCAGAATGATAAAGCTGGAGAGCTTTCCTTCCAGACACCTGCTGAACAGAAACGGAGACAAAAGTACTAAAAGAGCAACAAGAAATTATTAACTACAATGCCTGACTTTTCATGAAAGGACATTCATTTCCGTCTTCGATCGCAAATATTTTTTCTGAATTGGCTTAAAAATTTTGCTCAATAGCTTAAGAGTGTTTCATCCAGCAGCTGAAAGAGAGGCTGAGGCAGGAGACAGGAACAGAATATGGCCTGGTAGTTTTTAACTCTTAAGACTTTCTGAAAAGAACAACAAAGAAACAAAAATGCATCTAGTTTTGGCTGTGATATTTTTTGATACACGAAACAAAATAAGAAACACTATAAACCCAAACACGCCCCCCAGTAATCAGCTGATAGAAATGAACCGACCGTTGAATCTAGACTGGAATAAGAAAAGTGAGTCACGATGATGAAAACATGCTAAATTAAATTAATTGCTGCAGCGCCGACATGTTTGATCGTGCCTTATTTACATCCTCGTCATTATTGTGATTTGTCACAGGTTTTTACTGCGTCATCAGTTTCATAATAAAAATGAACTGTGAGTAATTCACTGTGATCGCCTGCTGGTGTAAACTTGTTTTGATCTGGCAAAGTGACCGACGTCAAATGAGGAAGATGCTACAGGAGGAGTTGCAACAACCACTTTTCACGCCATTCTCTCTGCACTTTTACAAGTTTTTATTTATTTAGATATTTTCTTATTTTGTAGTTTTTAGGAACTTGATGGGACACCCTGTTTATGGCCTCAGATGGTTTGTGAATAACTTTTATGTTTCCGAGGTAAAATTCTAAGAAATATCTCAGCATTCAAGACGTTCTACGACTTTTCATAAAATGACGTCGCTGCTACTTTCGATTCTGTGTTTTGAAGACTAAAAATAAATGAGAACAAAGTGAATTATTTATAATGACACACACAAATGAAAAACATAGGCGTAGGAAGCGGGGGGGACACGAGGGGGACATGTCCCCCCCAATATTGGAGAGAGTCACATTCGTCCCCCCCAATAATTTCACCGCTGTTGCGAAGAATTTTAAAATCTTCCACTCGCGTGCTTTTATTTTGAAGGCGCACAACAGCGCATTCAGCGGAGCGCTTCCTCCCCCTCCCCCCTCTGAACGGCTCAGAGTAAAGGCAGCAGCAGACAGAGTCAGAGAAACTCCGTTTGAAGGAGGTAAACG